ATCTGCAAATGGCAACAACTTCAGAACAATAAAAGAGGGAATAAACGGTGTAGGTATAGAATGTTCTAATGGAGAGGAAGGCAAGGCAATACCAAGTAATAATAGACTGCTTAAAACCTAGGAAGATAAGGATAAATGTCAAGATAACCACAAAGAGAATTAACAAACCTACTCATCAAAATAAAGAAGAAAAAGAAAGTCTCAGTAAAAATAAAATCTACAAAAACAAAAGAAATGAAAAAAAAATCCACAAACAAAAGGAGTTCAGCACAGGAGAGTGAGAGGAACAAAGAATTTGTCAGCACCACAAAAAAAGCACCACAAGATGACAGCAGTAAACTCACACCTATCGATAATTACACTAAACGTAAATGGCCTAAATGCACCCATAAAGAGAAAGAGGGTGATAGAATGGATTAAAAACAGGACCCATCAATATGCTGTCTACAAGAGACACACCTCAGAAACAAAGATATAAATTTACTAAAAATCAAAGGATGAAAAAAATATATCAAGCAAACAGCCACCAAAAAAGAGCAGGAGTGGTAATACTCATCTCAGATAAAATAGACTTTAAAACAAAATCTACCGTAAAAGACAAAGAAGGGCACTATATCATAATTAAAGGGATGATCCATCATGAAGACATAACCATGATAAATATCTACGCACCCAAAGACAGGGCTCCAAAATACATAAAACAAACTTTAACAGCACTGAAAAGAGAAATTGACAGTTCCACTATAATAGTAAGAGACTTCAATACACCACTCTTGGTAAAGGAGAGAACATCTATAAAGAAACTCCACAAAGATACATAATATCTAAAGGCCACAATCAGCCAACTTGAACTCACAGACATATATAGAACATTTCACCCAACAGCTGCAAAGTACACATTCTTTTCCATTGCATATGGAAAATTCTCCAGAATAGACCACATCTTAGGCCACAAAGCAACCCTCAACAAAATCCAAAACACTGAGATAATACAAAGTATCTTCTCTGATCACAACACCATCAAAGTAGAAATTAACAACAGGAAGAGCAAAGGAAAAAAAATCAATCATGTGGAAACTAAATAACACCCTACTTAAAAACCACTGAGTAGTAGAAGAAATCAAAGATGGAATAAAAAAATTCCTAAAATCAAACGAGAATGAAAACACATCATACCAAAACCTTTGGGACACAGCAAAGGCAGTGCTCAGAGGTCAATTTATAACAATAGATGCACACATCAAAAAAGAACAAAGGGACAAAATCAAAACATTAGCTACACAACTTGCACAAGCAGAGAACAGCAAAAGAAGGCTACGGCCACCAGAAGAAAGGAAATAATAAAGATCAGAGTAGAAGCAAATGAAATAGATAATAGAAAAACAATAGAAAGAATCAACAAAACCAAATGTTGGTTCTTTGAAGGGATCAACTAAATCGATGAACCACTAGCCAAATTGACAAAAGAAAAACAGGAGAGGATGCAAATAATCCAAATAAGAAATGAAATGGGGGCGTTACAACAGACCCAACTGAAATAAAAAGAATCATAACAGTGTATTATGAAAAACTATACTCCAACAAATTTGAATATCTAGAGGAAATTGCCAAATTTCTAGAAACACACTACCTCCCCAAACTAACACAAATTGATGATGAAAATCTGAAGTGACTCATAACGAGAAGAAATTGAAACGGTAATAATAATAGTAATAAAAATCCCATAAAAAAAAAGCCCTGGCCTAGATGGCTTCACTGGAGAATTCTACCAAACATTCAGAAAAGAGCATACACCAGTACTACTCAAACTATTTCAGAACATAGAAAAGGAAGGGATACTTCCAAATTCATTCTATGAAGCCAGCATAACCCTGATAACAAAACCAGGCAAAGACACTATAAAAAAAGAAAATTACAGATCAATATCTCTTATGAATATAGATGCAAAAATTCTCAAAAAAAATTTTAGCCAATAGAATTCAGCAACATATCAAAAAAATAATACACCACCACCAAGTAGGAGTCATACCAGGTATGCAAGGATGGTTCAACATTAGAAAATCAATCAACATAATCCACCACATAAATAAAAGAATCATATGATCATCTCAGTCGATGAAGAAAAGACATTCGACAGTCTTTTTAACAAATGGTCCTGGCAAAACTGGATGTCCATCTGCAAAAAAAAAAGAAACAGGATCCATACATCACACCATACACAAAAACTAATACAAACTAGATCAAAGACCTAAATATAAAACCAAAAATTATGAAGGTCATAGAAGAAAAAATAGGATCAACGCTAGAGATCCTAATACATGGCATTAATAGGATACAAACCGTAACTAACAACATACAAACTCCAGAAGATAAGCTAGATAACGGGGATCTTCTAAAAATTAAACACTTACACTCATCAAAAGACTTCACTAAAAGATTAAAAAGACAACCTACAGACAGGGAAAAAAGATTTGGCTATTACAAATCCAGCAAAGGTCTAATCTCTAAAATCTGCAGGAAAAACCAACACCTCTACAACAAAAAGACAAATAATCCAATTAAAAAATGGGCAAAGGAAATGAACAGACATTTCACCAAAGAAGACATTCAAGCAGCTAACAGACACATGAGGAAATGTTTGTGATCACTAGCCGTTAGAGAAATGCAAATCAAAACCACAATGAGATACCATCTCACCCCTGCATTACTGGCATGAATCAAAAAAACAAGAAAATAACAATTGTTGGAGAGGCTGCAGGGAGATTGGAACTCTTACGCACTGCTGGTGGGAACGCAAAATGGTACAACCATTTTGGAAAACAATGTGGTGCTTCCTTAGAAAGCTAGAAATAGAAATACCGTATGATCCAGCAATCCCACTCCCAGGAATATATCCTAGAGGAATAAGAGCCGTCACAAGAATAGACATATGCACACCTATGTTCATGGCAGCATTGTTCACAATAGCAAGAAGATGGAAACAACCTAGATGCCCATGAACAGATGAATGGATAAACAAACTATGGTACATACACACAATGGAGTATTATGCAACAACAAAGAACAATGATGACTCTGTGAAGCATCTCACAATATGGATGAATCTGGTGAGCATTATGCTGAGTGAAATAAGTCAATCACAAAAGGACAAATATTGCATAGACCACTACTATAAAAACTCATGAAAGGTTTACACACAAAAAGAAACAATCTTTGATGATTACGAGGGAGGGGAGGGGTGGGGGTGGAAAAACACTAACTAGACAATAGATAAGTGGTAACTTTGGTGAAGGGTAAGACAGTACACAATACGGGGGAAGCCAGCACAACTTGTTCAGGGTAACGTCATAGAAGCTCCATGGACAAATCCAAACCCCGTGAGGGATTGAATTTCTGGGCTGAGGGCTGTGGGGAACATCTAGCTCAATTGGTATAACATAGTTTATAAAGAAAATGTTCTACATTCTACTTTGGTGAGTAACGTCTGGGGTCTTAAAAGCCTGTGAGCAGCCATCTGAGATACTCCACTGGTCTCACCCCTTCAGGAGCAAGGGAAAATGAAGAAAACTAAAGACACAAGGGAAAGATTAGTCCAAAGGACTAATAGACCACAACTACCACGGCCTCCACCAGACTGAGTCCAGTACAACTAGATGGTGCCCAGCTACCACCACCCACTGCTCTGACAGGAATCACAATAGAGGGTCCTAGACAGAGCTGGAGAAAAATGCAGAACAAAATTCTCACTCAAAGAAAGACCAGACTTACTGGCCTGACATAGACTGGAGAAACCCCAAGAGTATGGCCCCCCAGACACCCTTTTAGCTCAGTAATGAAGTCATGCCGGAGGTTCACCTTTTAGTCAAAGATCAGATAGACTCATAGGACAGAAAGAGACTAATGGGGCACACCAGCCCAGGAGCACAGACTAGAAGGCAGGAGGGGAGAGGAAAGCTGGTAATAGGGAACCGAAGGTTGAGAAGAGAGAGTACTGACATATCATGGGGTTGTTAACCAATGTCATAAAACAATATATGTACTGTTTAATGAGAAGCTAGTTTGTTCTGTAAACCTTCATCTAAAGTACAGTAAAAAAAAAAAAAAAAGAAAGACATAGACTTGTTGGTACAATAATAACCCAGGACCCAGCTGTAAGCCTCATGTCAAAGAGGTGGGGAGAAATAGCTCATTACTCTCCTCAGCTAAACTCATCTGTCCTGGAACTCAAAGCGTCATTACAGTCTTTGCTTTAAAAAGGATCGAAGACTTTGGCGTTTTCCTCTTTCATGAGTACATGGAAGGGAGCAGGAAGGTAGGAATTTATCTTCCCCCTGGAATGACCATGCTACCTAAGTCCTCCCAGAGAGTCAGGAGTGGTTTTTCATTTTCTCTACACAAGGAAGAAGGCAGCCAGCATTTTATAAAGTGTATCGTTAGGGAACTAAGAGGCCCCCAGAAATCAACGGACAAAGATGTAATGCTTAAAGATTGTGCTTTGGGTAATTGCATAAGCAAAGACTAAAAATTTATCTTCCTAAAGGTCTCTAAAAACAAGAAGTGGGCATTTGTTATCAATTTGAGGGAGTTTGAGGTTGATCAAGGAAAAACTATGACCACAAGGTAGCAACATTGCACAACAAGCTATTAAAAACAAAAACAAAAAAAAGAATACCAGGTGCTTGACTCCCACCCTAACATTGTCATTTAATGGGTCTGGGGTGTGACCTGGGCGTTGGGGGTTTTTAAAGAGTCTTGAGGTGGTTCTAAGGTGTATAGGTGGTTCAGTGGTGGAATTTGCGCCTTCTATGCAGGAGACCTGGGTTCGAGTCCCGGCCAGTGCTCCTCATGCATAGCCACTATCTGTCAGTGGGAGTTTATATGTTGCTGTGATGCTGAACGAGTTTCAGTGGAGCTTCCAGATTAAGACTAGGAAGAAAGGCCTGGCAATTTACTTCAGATGATCAGCGAATGAAACCCTGTGGATCACAAAGATGCAGTCAGCAACATGGGGATGGAGCAGGACTGGGCAGCATTTAATTCTGTTGTGCATGGAGCTGCCAGGAGTTGGGGCTGACTCAATGGCAGCTAACAACAAGGCAGTTCTCATGTGCAGCAGGGTTTAGAAACCACAAATTTAGGGGGCTTGACTAGAGAAATAAGTCAAGACTGGGGAGATGGGCCACAAGAACGGAGAGAGGGTTTTTTGGGGCACCTGTGCTATTCCTTCCACTCTCAGAACCAGTATAAAATCAGCACCTTCCTCACCCTCCACAGGCCTGGCCCCTCATGCCGCCCTCTGCACCCAGTGTCCAGGTAGCCTACACGATGCAGCTTCGACTCACCCAAGTCTCAGTGGGCAGCTGGGCTTCCCTTCTTTGTGCCCCCAGGTCCTGTGGCTAAAGCAAGCCCATTTCCTCGGCTCTGCCCCTGTCTCCCCACATGGTTTGTAACCCTGCCCCGGTGTTCTCTCCTGGCTTACTCCAAGTCTCCCCCATCTTACAGGGGTTTCAGATTCACTGAGTCCTCCACCCGCTAGTAACCTGGTGATTTAATCTTGAGCATCAGAATTCCAGACACATAGAGAAGGCTCATGCCTTAAAGGTACTACTTCATTGGGGTCGTTTTTTGATTGTTGACATTTTATTCTTTAGACCAGTACTTTCTAGATTTTATCTTTTGCACGTCTGGGTTCCTTTTTAACCTGGCTTCTGTCATGGTGAACTGTTTCCTGTTTTCTGTACAAGTCAAAGATCTTTCTGTTTTTAAGCTATCCCTATAAGGCGTTGGGAGCAGTGGGGTGAGGGGAGGAAGGAAGGGTATTGAAATATAGGTTACTGTCAAAAAACAAGACTCTCCCTCAGGGCACCGTCTCTGCTGGCTTGGGTGCCGAGCCCCAGGCTGGCCTGTGTTCACTGACTTGTGAAGTTCAAGAGCACCGAGGTGAGCTAATCTAGAATCTGGTGAGTCCCATCAGGGCTCTGGGTGCCGGCTGCACAGGTGAATCCCCTGGGTCCCCCTGTCAAATTCACTCAACCTCCGAGGGTACGGCCCTGGCTCAGGTGTCTGAAACACGCCTGGGCGATTACTGTGTGGCTGGCGATTCCAACCACAATGCCTGTCCGCAGGCTGTTGACACCTCACTGGTTTGGGGCAGAGGACTTGCGTCCAGGGATAAAATCACATTCTGTTCTGAGGCCAGGAGGGAAAAGTGGAAAGGTCATTTGTTCATAGGCTTTGGGCCTGGGATTTCCTAAAGGAAGGCCTTTCTGCCTCTTTCAAGGCCATCTCTGCTCTTTTGTAAAGTTGACCTGCTCCCCGTGTGGGTGGCACTCAGAAACACTTGTTTGTGCCCTGGACAGCCCAGAATGGTCCTAGGCTCGCTCTTCTTGTACTGGGAGGTGGGGGTCCTGTGGTTTCCCACCGCCCCTCCAGCAGGACCCGTTGTCCTTTTTGGAGATGGCCTGGAGCGTCCCTGCTCCCTGGAGCTTAGCGTCAGCATCACATGGGAGCTTGTTAGAAATGCAAGTTCTGGGCCCCCACTGCAGACCTCCTGATTTCACAGCCTTGGAGGTGGGGACTGAGCCCTGGTGGCACAGTGGTTAAATGCCTGGCTGCTAACCAAAAGGTCAGCAGTTTGAACCCACCAGCTGCTCAGTGGAAGAAGGATGTGGCAATCTGCTTCCGTAAAGATTTACAGGAAACCCTATGGGACGGTTCTACTCTGTCCTATAGGGTTACTATAAGTCAGAATCGACTTGATGGCAGTGGGTTTGGTTTTTTTGGGTTGGAGGTGGGGCCCAGCAATCACTGTTCTGACAAACTCTGTAGACGGTTCTGAGAATCCCTTCATAGTCTGAGGCGACAGGAGATGCGTTTCTGACAACCCTGAGGTGATGACTAATGGTGCTGGTCTGGGGCACACACCTTGAGAACCACTGGCCTAGCGAGCCCCATAGGCCTGGGGACATTCACAGTTCCTAGCATAAGTCTGTTAGCCAATATTAGGGACCAGGAGCTGAGATGGTGTGACCAGAAGAAAGTGAGAAACTCGGGCCACCTTAAGGAAGAGTGCTCAGGAAGACCACTGAGCTTGTCTTCCAGACGCTAATCATAACAAGTGTTCTATCATTTATTGTGTCCCTGCTACACCCTTTAAGAAGCCCTGGTGGTGCAGTGGTTAAGAGCTTGGCTGCGAACCATAAGGTCAGCAGTTCGAATCCACCAGCTGCTCCTTGGAAACCCTA